TGCATAGCTACTGACCGGTTCATCTGATTGAAGGCGTTACTTGCATCGATCAGTAGTACTGCATCTGTATCCTCTTCACTAAAGATCTGGCTCATTGCATGAATAGCGGCTTCGGCCCCTCCACTGTGTCCAGCACAAACTTGTAGGGGACCTGCTGCTTGTTTTAGTTCTTCTTTTAAGAATGCAGACACTGTTTTACCGACAATTCGCCGTAGAACTTCTCCTATTCCTATGGGTCGAATTCCGGGATTCTTATCCAAAGGTATGAGCCTACACGCGGCGTAGCTCTCTAGCAGGATTGGATGGTATGAAGATTTTAATAGATTTCTGGTCATAATTACTATTTCTTCTCTCAGTAGTTTTCCTTCGGCTTTAAAATTCTTTGAACAGAGTACTCTTCGGTAAAGTTCGGCATCCATTCCTGAAGGTCCGGCAGATCCTCTTGTCCTCATTGCTGCATTGTAGATCATTTGTTCATCGATTAAGTCAAAGATACCATGAGGATTAGGTTCCAGGGGACCATTCAAGAGGCTTTCACCTTCGATGTCAGCAGTTGAAGGATGTTTCTCTTTGAGCTCCTCTAAGACTTCGGGTGATAAAGTAAGGACACCTGTAGATGTCTCTCTGTCAAGAAGTTTTATAGCGGCTGATAGCTTTCCTTGCATAATTAGATTGGCGAATACTTTGGATATATCTTCCATAGATCTTGCTTTCCTCGTCCTGCTAAACCTGCTCTGTATGAACCTTATTTCTTTCAACAGGAGAGATAGATCCCCTGCTCTCCATAAGGACAACCTCCGTTCAATAGCCTCACTGTGTTCCTTGCTTTTGGATGTCGCTGAGGGTTTTTGTAGAATCAACGTTGGGAGCACCATAAAGGCTTTCAAGGCGATATAATTTAGATCTGTATTAGAATTGAATTGCTTTAGTCAATACGTCAATTCGGTTATGAAATTCTTGCCTGCTTTACCCGATGGTATATTGAAGATATTTCGTTTAAAATGAACAATTTCATCGTAGATGTCCTGGGTTTGTTTACAGAACTGTTCTTGAGTTATGGTCCCCCAACTTTTCTCTTTTATTTTAGAGGGAAGCACATCAAAGTCAGGCAGATTTGGCTGAATTTTGCTTGAGGTTTTTCCTTCTTTGTCGAGAAATGCCTCAGGGGATTGCAATACACTAGTATGCAAATTCGGTGTCGGTCTTGGTTGATTAGCTGCATTTTCGTCCTCATTTTGTTCGATATTTTCGATATTTTCTTCGGTTTCTTGTGTTAAAATCGTCATATTAGAGCAATTCTGTGTGTTTTGCAGTCTTGAGGCTTGATCTCTCAGGTTTTGGCCGGTTAAACCAAGGCTTCCATAGTCTTTCTCTTCCCATAGCTCCGCCATTATTTGAATGTAGCCTTTCTTTCTGCCATTTTGGTTAAGCGGTGGATCCTTCGAAGATATTATTTCGAATGCTCTTTCCTTACATTCTAAAACATCTCTGTTCATTCCCTCTGTCCATTTCGTTCGTTTTCCTTTCCTTGACATTTCCTTTCAGGGTCAATTAACAACAGAAAAATTAAAGAGCACCCCAGAGCTAGAAGACACGTCCTCACCTCCAGACGCCATGTATGATAATGTATGTTTTAATAATAATAATAATAATAATAATAATAATAATAATAATAA